GGGGTTTTTTTGGGGTTTATGAGGGGTTTTTGACGGGGTTTGTCAGGAGATTTTTGGGGGGTTTTGTGAGGAGATTTTTGGGGGGGATTGAGTGGTTTTTTAGGGTTTTTTTTAGGGGTTTTTTAGGGGTTCTGAGGGGTTTTTTGGGGGTTTATGAGGGGTTTTTTGGGGGTTTATGAGGGGTTTTTGAAGGGGTTTATGAGGGGTTTTTTGTGGGATTGTGAGGAGATTTTGAGGGGGTTATGAGGGATTTTTTTCAGTGTTTATGAGGGGATTTTGGAGGGGGTTGAGTGGTTTTTTAGGGGTTCTGAGGGGTTTTTTTGGGGTTTATGAGGGATTTTTCAGCATTTGTGACGAGATTTTTGAGGGTTTTTTTTTTAGGCTTGTGAGGGATTTCTTGAGCGATTTTTTTGTGGGGGTTATAAAAGGTTTTCTTGGTATTATGAAGAGTTTTTTGGGGCGCTTTTGAGGGTTTTATTAAAAGTTTTTTTGGGGGGGGGGCGTTACAAGAGGTTTTTGGAGTATTTTTAGGAGGGCTTCTGAGGATTTTTAAGTGTTTTTTGGGGGGAGATCCTGAAGATTTTTTTTTTTTTGAGTTGTTTTTTTTTTTTTGGACGCTTTCGACCACCCAAACGTGTCCTGCGGGTTCAGGGACATTGGGAGAATCCCGGAGGATCCCAGGGATCCCTGTCCCTGTCCCCAAACTGGTGGCAGCAGGTGGCACTGTCGGCTCAGCCACAGCCTGCTGCCTGCCCCGCTGCTCCCGATTTCTGGGGGCTTTTTGGGGGGGCTTTTTTTGGGGGCTTTTTTTGGGGCTTTTTGGGGATTTTTTTTGGGTTTTTTGGGGCTTTTTTGGGGCTTTTTTTGGGGCTTTTTTGGGGCTTTTTTGGGGCTTTTTGGAGGCTTTTTTGGGGCTTTTTTGGGGCTTTTTTTGGGGCTTTTTTTGGGGCTTTTTTGGGGCTTTGGGGGGGCTTTTGGGGGCATTTTTAGGGCTTTTTGGGGGCTTTTGGGGACTTTTTTGGGGCTTTTTTTGGGCTTTTTTTGGGCTTTTTGGGGGCTTTTTGGGGGCTTTTTTGGGGCTTTTGGGGGGCTTTTCTGGGGCTTTTTTGGGGCCTTTTTTGGGGCTTGGGGGGGCTTTTGGGGGCATTTTTAGGGCTTTTTGGGGGCTTTTGGGGACTTTTTTGGGGCTTTTTTTGGGCTTTTTTTGGGCTTTTTGGGGGCTTTTTGGGGGCTTTTTTGGGGCTTTTGGGGGGCTTTTCTGGGGCTTTTTTGGGGCCTTTTTTGGGGCTTGGGGGGGCTTTTGGGGGCATTTTTAGGGCTTTTTGGGGGCTTTTTTGGGGCTTTTTGGGGGCTTTTGGAGACTTTTTTGGGGCTTTTTTTGGGCTTTTTGGGGGGGCTTTTTTTGGGCTTTTTTGGGGCTTTGGGGGGCTTTTTTTGGGCTTTTTTTGGGCTTTTTTGGGGCTTTTTGGGGGCCTTTGGGGACTTTTTTGGGGACTTTTTGGGGACTTTTCTGGGGGGCTTTTTTGGGGCTTTTTTTGGGCTTTTTTTCCCAAGCCTCTTCCAGCCACATTCCAGGCCCGGGGTGACAGCAGGGACAGCATCCCGGGAATCCAGACCCAGAGGCTCAGCCTGGGATGAAACCTGGCTGCGATTTTGGGGTAGAGCTGCCCCAAAATCTTCCCTTCCCTGGCTTTGGGAATCGCCCACCCGCTGTGGGTTTTGCTCCAGAATTCCCCTCTGCTCCAAGCGGGAATTCCCTTCTGCTCCGTTTGGGATAAAACAGGGTGGGAAAGGATTCCCAGGAAAACAGACCCCAAACCCAGGAAAAACGATCCCAAAACCCAAGAAAACAGACCCCAAACCCAGGAAAAACGATCCCAAAACCCAAGAAAACAGACCCCAAACCCAGGAAAACAAACCCCAAAGCCAGGAAAACAACCCCAAACCCAGGAAAACAAACCCCAAAACCCAGGAAAACACAGACCCCAAACCCAGGAAAACACAGACCCCAAACCTAGGTAAACAAACCCCAAACCCAGGAAAACAAACCCCAAACCCAGGAAAACAAACCCCAAACCCAGGAAAACAACCCCCAAATCCAGGAAAACAACCCCCAAAGCCAGGAAAACAGCCCCAAACCCAGGAAAACAACCCCAAACCCAGGAAAATAAACCCAGGAAAACAAACCCCAAACCTAGGAAAATAAACCCCAAAATCCAGGAAAACAAACCCCAAAACTCAGGAAAACAGACCCCAAACCCAGGAAAATGGACCCCAAACCCAAGAAAATAAACCCCAAAACCCAGGAAGACAAACCCTGAAAAACAAACCCCAAACCCAGGAAAACAAACCCCAAACCCAGGAAAACAAACCCCAAAACTCAGGAAAACAAACCCCAAAACCAAGAAAACAGACCCCAAAACCCAGGAAGACAAACCCAGGAAAACAAACCCCAAACCCAGGAAAACAAACCCCAAACCCAGGAAAACAAACCCCAAAACTCAGGAAAATAAACCCAGGAAAACAAACCCAGGAAAACAAACCCCAAACCCAGGAAAACAAACCCCAAACCCAGGAAAACAAACCCCAAACCCAGGAAAACAAACCCCAAACCCAGGAAAACAAACCCCAAACCCAGGAAAACAAACCCCAAACCCAGGAAAACAAACCCCAAACCCAGGAAAACAAACCCCAAACCCAGGAAAACAAACCCCAAACCTCAGGAAAATAAACCCAGGAAAACACAGACCCCAAACCCAGGAAAACAGCCCCAAACCCAGGAAAACAACCCCCAAACCCAGGAAAACAAACCCCCAAACCCAGGAAAACAAACCCCAAACCCAGGAAAACAACCCCCAAAGCTCTGCGGCTGCCGAGGGCCGGGAGCGGCTCCCCCGCTGCCCGCGGCGGTGTCGCGGCTCGATCTGTCACTGTCGCCGCCGGGCAGGGTCACCCGTCTGGGCAGCTCCCGGGGGAGGCTCCGGCTGCGTGTCTGGCTCCGCCACAACCCGGCCTTGGCAACGGGCCTTGGGGACACGCCAGTGCCACCGGGACAGAGCCACCGAGCCAGAGCCACCGGGCCCTTGGGGACAGGGGACGGGCCAGAGCCACCGGGACAGAGCCACTGGGTCCTTGGGGACAGGGGACGGGCCAGAGCCACCGGGGCCTTGGGGACAGGGGACGGGCCAGAGCCACCGGGACAGAGCCACTGGGTCCTTGGGGACAGGGGACGGGCCAGAGCCACCGGGCCGGAGCCACCGGGACAGAGCCCCCGAGCCAGAGCCACTGAGGCCTTGGGGACAGGACAGGGGACACGCCAGAGCCACCGGGACAGAGCCACTGGGCCCTTGGGGACAGGGGACACGCCAGAGCCACCGGGCCAGCGCCACCAGCTCACCCTGGGGTGGCCCGGGCTCCCACAGGTGTCCCCTCCCCGCACCCCAAATCCTGCGGGAATCGCTCCCTCCCTGCACCTTCCCTTCTCTCGGGGCAGCAGCTGAAGTCCCAAAAGGGGTTTGGATTCCTCACGCAGAAAATGGGAATTTTCCCGCTGGATTCGGGTTTGGATTCCTCACCCAGAAAATGGGAATTTTCCTGCTGGATTCGGGTTTATTCCCCGCCTGGAAAACGGGAATTTTCCTGCTGGGTTGGGATTTGGATTCCCTGCCTGGAAAACGGGCATTTCCCGCTTTATTTTTTTATTTCCTTTTTCCCTTTCTTTTCCTCAAATATCCCCGGCGAGGATTCCCGGGGAGCAGGAGCAGGAGCAGGAGCAGGAGCAGGAGCAGGAGCAGGAGCAGGAGCAGGAGGAGGAGGAGGAGGAGGGAGGGAATTAAGACCATTACAAGGCCATCAAACAGGATCAGAGCCCCCGTCCCTTTCTCCGGCCAGCCCGGACCTGCTAATCCCGTTTCACGCAGCTGCAGCGGCTCACAGGGACCCCGGCCCTGTCCCCGTGTCCCCTCCGCTGTCCCCAGCCCCGGGGTGATGCTCAAAGCGTTTGGGGACACCGAGAGCGGCTTTTGGGTGACAAAGTGGCGTCACTTGTTTATTGTGCAGCACCCACCCCCGAGGCTGCTGGGCCCGAGGGGGTCACAGACCCTACAAAACCCCCCCCCCAGCCCAGAGAACACCCCAAAATCCACGCTGGCCGCTCCTGGGTGTCCCCACCGTGTCCTCCAGGAAAAGGCAGCGCTGGAGCGTCCCCAGGAGGGGCAGGCACAGCGGTGACACAGCCACAAACCCCGTCCTGGTGGCACCGATGTCCCCAGGCGTGTCCCCAGAGCGGGACAGCCAGCTCCGGCTGGGCTCTGACCAGTCCCCCCCAGTCAGGACGCGGCCAGGTACTGGTGGAAGTAGAGGCCGAAGAGGCTGGTGACCACCTGGCAGGCGGCCACCCACCAGGTGAGGAAGGAGAAGAGTCCTCGGAAGAAGAGGGGGGTGAAGATGCAGCCCAGGACCCCCGAGATCTCCTGCACCACCACCTGCACGTCCTCGCCAGCCTCGCCCTCGGGGCGTGGGGGGACCAGCGGCGCTGCTGGGGACACGGCGGGGGACAGCTCGGGGTACAGCCCCCAGGAGTGCTGGCCTGTGGGACACAGGGGACAGCTCTGGGGGTCTCTGTGGGACACAGGGGACAGCTCTGGGGGTCTCTGGGACACAGGGGACAGCTCTGGGGGTCTGTGTGGGACACAGGGGACAGCTCTGGGGGTCTCTGGGACACAGGGGACAGCTCTGGGGGGTCTCTGTGGGGCAGGGGACAGCTCTGGGGGTCTCTGTGGGACACAGGGGACAGCTCTGGGGGTCTCTGTGAG